AAAAAAAAAAAAAAAAAAAAAAAGGTTTACACGTATTTTACCAAGTGAAATAGGATATGTTGCAAACAGTTGTCAGTAAGTTTTGTTTTTCGTTTGGTTGGTTGGTTTTATTTTATTTTATTTTTATTTTTTGGAGACAAGTTCTTGCTCCGTCGCCCAGGCTGGAGTGCAGTGTTGCAATCACAGCTCATTGCGGCCTCAACTTCCTGGGCTCAAGTGACCCTCCCACCCCAGCCTCCCAAGTAGCTGGGACTCAGGTGCACATCACCATGCCCAGCTAATTTTTTGTAGAGATGGGGTTTTACCGTGTTGCCTAGGCTGGTCTCGAACACATAGCTCAAGCATGTGGCTTCCCAAAATGCTGGGATTACAGTTGTGAACCACCACACCCAGCCAGTAAATTCTTCAAAGATAAATTTTAAAGTAGGTTGCTTTTTCTCTACCTATGGAAAAGTGATATGTGTGGAGAGCTTTATGTTTCTGTTGGGCTCTAAAAGAAACCATGTTTGCCAGGCGTGGTGGCTCACGCCTCTGATCCAAGCACTTTGGGAGGCTGAGGTGGGTGGATCATGAGGTCAGGAGTTTGAGACAAGCCTGGCCAGTATGGTGAAACCCCGTCTGTACTAAAAATACAAAAATGAGCTGGATGTGGTGGCAGGTGCCTGTAGTCCCAGCTACTCGAGAGGCTGAGGCAGAAGAATCACTTGAACCTGGGAGGCGGAGGTTGCAGTAAGCCGACATCACATTACTGCACTCCAGCCTGGGTGATAGGGTGAGACTCCGTCTAAAAATAAAACAAAAAAGAAACCATATTTTTTGTTGTTGTTTTCCTGAGCGTCACTGTTCTCTGTTCCTTTCTGACAGACCTTCGGCATGGCTGAGGAGTACCATCGAGAGTCAATGTTGGTTGAATGGGAACAAGTGAAACAGCGAATTCTGCACACACTGCTGGCGTCAGGAGAAGACGCCCTTGACTTTACTCAAGAAAGCGAGGTAGCTTGAATTCAAAAGATAAACTATTCTTAATAAAAACGTGAAGTCAAAGAATGCTTGTCTACTTGACTAGTATTTTTGGCAGAGTTGATCACTGTCTTCCCCTTGAAACACTTTATTATACTTAGCTTCCAGGATGCCATATTTGCCTGGACTTTCTCCAACATGTCTGCCTGCTTCTGCCCAGTCTCTTTTGCTGAGCTTTCCTCAAATTCCCTGACCTCTGTAGGTTTGAGCGTCCCAGGGCTCAGTCCTTGACCTCTTTAGTTTCTCTCTCAATCATTGTCCTGTGATTTCATCTGCGCTTGGGCTTTAAATACCTACCATTTATATGTCAGAGAGTTTCAGATTTATGCCTACAGCCTTGAACCTTAGACTCGTTTATCTAGTTGCCTTCTTGGCTCTGCTTGTATGTCTTATTGCCATCTCAGGCTAAATATGTCCAGAATTGAGTGGTGATAGCAACTCCCTCCCTACCCGGCTTTTCTTCTCACAGAGCTCCCTGTCTTTATAAATGGCAATTCCAGTTTTTCACTCGCTCGGATCAGAAACCTCAGATTCACTTTTGTCGTCTCTCCATCTTTCCCATCTCACACCCAGTCTCTTTCACATATTGACAAATCCAGTTAACCCTACCTTAAAATATACCCAGAATCCAACTTCTCACTGCCTCCACTTTTAACACTGTGGTGCAAATCACTGTCATCTCTTGCTTGGATTATTGAACTGGCCTCCTAACTGCTTGTTTTTATTGCCATGTAACAGATTACTCCAAACCTTGTTTGTTGAAAACAAGTGTGTAGCTTAGTACTTGATATTTCTGGCTCAGGGTCTCTAGGCGCAGTCAGGGTATTGGCTGAGGCTGCACTCATCTCAAGGCTAGATGCAAGGAGCATCTACTCACAAGGTCATTCATATGGTTGTTGGCAAACTTTAGGTCCTCTCTGACTCTTGGCTGCAGACATCAGTTTCTTTTCAAATGGGTCTCCATATTGTGCTACTCACAGCATGATAGCTTGCTTCCCTAGAGCAAGAGGAAGGGGTCCAAGGGAGAGCTAAAGAGCCCCCAAGACAGAAACCACCATCCTTCCATGCCTTAAAAGTACTATCCCATCACCTCTCTTGGTTAGAAGTAGGTCACTAAATCCAGTCTACACTCATACAAGGGCTGGACTACCAGGAGGTGGGAGTTATTGGGGCCATCTTAGAGGCTGCTGACCACCCTTGTTCTCACTGCTTTTGCTGTTGTACCCTGTTACAGTTTCTTCTCAACACAGCAGCCAGAACACTACTATTAAAGGACAGGTTAGATTGTATTACTTCTCTGCTCAGCACCCTTCAGTGCCGCTCATCTCACATGGAATGAAAACCAAAGTCTTCACTTTGACCTGTGGGTCCCTACATGACCTGGTCTTGTTGCCTCTCTAAGCTCATCTTATGCTGCCTTCCCCATTGCTCTTGCTGCACCAGCCGAACAGGCTTCTTACAGGTTCCTTGAGCAAACCTGGCAGGCCTGCTTCTGCCTCCGGTCCTCTGTGCTTCCTATTGCCTCTGCCAGGAATGCTCTTCCCCCAAAGGACTGCATGGCAGTCTCTCTTACTTCCTTCATATATTTACCCAGTGCCATCTCAGTGAGACCCTCCAAGGCCCTGAAATCCAAACCAACCCCTTCTTATTCAACACTTCCCAAATCCCCTTTTCTTGCTGTATTTTTTCTTTGTGGCACATCTTCCTATGTGTCATAGTATGTTTTATGTCTTTATATTCTGTATTGTCTGTTTCTCCCAGTAGAATGTAAGCTTTTTGAAGATAAGGATCTTTGCTTGTTTTGTTTATTCCTTGATCTCCAGTGCCTGGAAGAGTCTCTGGAACATTGTAGATGCTCAGGAAATATTTGTTGAGTGAATCATTTGGCCATGGCTAACTTCATGCTAACTGAAGTATAGGGATATGTTGAAACTGTGTGATTTTAGAATGGGTAGGTTAAGTAGCCCTTTTCTAATTGCCGGTGTTAATTGACTGGCAGTTGTGCTAAGTTGAGATTTTTTTTCCCTCTTTTTAGAAGTTAATTTAAAAATATAGGCAGTGTGGCCGGGCGCGGTGGCTCAAGCCTGTAATCCTAGCACTTTGGGACGCCGAGGCGGGTGGATCACGAGGTCAAGAGATCGAGACCATCCTGGTCAACATGGTGAAACCCCGTCTCTACTAAAAATACAAAAAATTAGCTGGGCATGGTGGTGCGT